ATGGTAGGAAAATATTAATCTCACTCTACTTCAGATTAACTTCAGTAGATCGAATTGAAATTGCAGTAATTGTAGCAATACTGATAAAGGGTTTTAATTTTTAAAAATATGTTTTTTATTTTAGCATTGAATTGATAGATCTGGGGGAGATTTATGTTAAACCAGAACCCTATAAAGAACTTGGAAGTAATTGGGGTGTTTTATTTTTATATTGTTTATTTTCTTGCCACTTCCTTCAGAACTCTGGGATGGATCCCATTTTGCCCTGGAGTTGTTCCCGCACTGGCAGTAGGTTTGCCTAGCACACTGTATCATGCAGAACAGACAAGGCTCCTAGGATTTGTGTTTCTCTTACTTTGCTAGATTTTCAGGAATGTTAATGAGGGTGAGAGAACCATAGATTTCACATGACCATAAATTCTAATAGATTAAATACATTTCCTTATATCTTTTCTTTACCTTTTGTCTTCAAACTCTTAAGTTACTATACTGTTCTATTTATTCTTATGAAATCTTTTTATAATTTTTTAGTCCTGCTTTCTACCTTAATCTTTTCCCTTTCTCAGCCCTTCTCTCACTTTCTCCATAATTCAACCATATGCAATGCATAACTTCTCCATAATATCTTTTGTCTCAATATATAAAAAAACTGATAATAAAATATTCAATCTAAGTGATAAGTGAAATCTCTTTTTCACATTCTTTTTCTACTGCTCATTTTCCCTTTTTCTTTAGTGAATTTTATCAAGCTAATATTTACAACTATTCCACAGTTTATATTCCCTTTACCAATCCATCCCATCTCACCTTCGCTTATTTCGTGGTTTACATTTTTCCAGGTAAGAGCATAGTTTTCATTTCTGCTTTAAAAGCATAAGTCTATTGAGCCTTATCCAGAAGTTAAATAAAATATCGACTACACTCAGTTGCCTAAACCACCTAAAACTCAATATTCTTTTTACATGCAAGGATTCCTACTAAAGTTTAGAGGAAGTCTTTGATATGAACACTGCAATAAAATGATAGGCATTGCTATAGTTCAGATATATATCATTGAAAACTTACCTCCTTTTTACTGCCTTTTTAAAGTAGATATTTCTTACATATGAGAAAATATACATCATATTAATGAATTTAGTCAGTATTATCTTTAAAAATTCCATAATTCAATTTAATTTTACTGACTTTAATTGCTTAAAGTTTTTGAGAAAAAGTGATTCCAAATGAAAATTTTTCATTGCTTTTCTAAATTATTTTGAGGCCAGGTGCAGTGGCTCATGCCATGATCTCAGTGTTTTGGGAGGCCAAGGCAAGAGGATAATTTGAGGTCAGAAGTTCAAGACCAGCCTGACAACATAGCAAAACCTTGTCGCTACAGAAAATAAAATGAAAATTAGCTAGGTGTGGTGGTACACACCTGTAGTCTTAGCTACTTGGGAGGCTGAGGCAGGAGGATCTGCTGGACAAAGTGAGACCTTATCTCAAAAATAATTATTTTATAAAAGGAATAAAATACTTTCACTTTTAGTACCAACTATAACAAAGGCAGATGTTAGGGAAAATGCACATTTTTTTCTTTGAGAGGCTGATGTCTAACATATCCTACAATGTAACACAAAAACGTTTTCTCTTATCTTTGCATTAAGAGTAATGAATTAATGAATAATTAATGAAATATTAGTCACTTATTTTTTTCTCCTTCTTAAATATTAGTGCATATTCAACTGGCCCTTGAACATATATTTTTTATATACTACCCATCTATGAGAAGCTTAGACCAATTTACACTAAATCAAAATTCTCCCATTGCACTTAAGAAGAAATTTAAGGAAACATTTTACAACATCTTTCAACAGTTTCAGATGGGTTTATCTCAATAGATTTAGTTGAATGACTTATCCAGTGACATACTGGAAGTATATATGAAAAGTATGATGTGTAAAACTCTTGTTTCAGCATTCATTACACAAGTTTGGCATTTCTAAACTAGCACTGGGAACGGTTTATGATGTTAAGTATTTTAAGTTTTAGTACCTCAAAATAAATCCATTTCTTGAATGATTTTAATGCTTAAAGTCTCCTAAAATATAATGTTCAAAATTCCCCTGCTTTCTTATTTGAAGTTACAATAACTTCAGTTTCCTATAGTTCAGAGCCCACTTGGATAATATTTGAAAAAAGAAAGAAAATTACAAATTATCTCTTTCTAATGTTCACTTACTCTGAGATGCTAAACAAACTGATTCATCTTCATTAGGTAAGATAAATAATTGAAAAGAAAGTCCGAATTTCTAGGAAAAGTGTTGAAATTGCCATTGACTATACTAATCCTAAACCTGTTGAAAAATTAATGATTGTTTTTAGAAAATGACATCAGACTGCTATAATGGGAAATAGCATTAACATGTTGTACCCATCTAAATAAACCCTACTTCAAACATCTGTCAGAATACTGCTTGCCTTTATTTTTTAACTAACATGTTAAGAGGTCCCTTTTTGAAACTTTTTTTTTTTTTTTTTTTTTTTTTTTTGAGACAGAGCCTCGCTTTTGTTGCCCAGGCTAGAGTAAGTGCCATGGCGTCAGTCTAGCTCACAGCAACCTCAAACTCCTGGGCTCAAGCAATCCTGTTGCCTCAGCCTCCAAGTAGCTGGGACTACAGGCATGCGCCACCATGCCCGGCTAATTTTTTCAATATATATTAGTTGGCCAATTAATGTATTTGTATTTATAGTAGAGATGGGGTCTCGCTCTTGGTTAGGCTGGTTTCAAACTCCTGACCTTGAGCAATCCGCCCACCTCGGCCTCCCAGAGGGCTAGGATTACACGCATGAGCCACTGCGTCCAACCTCCCTTTTTGAAATTTTTTCTGAGTGCTGAAGACTCATATTTTTCATCTGAAATATATTAGCAGATGTATTTGGTGTGAATGATAGAAGGTACAGTGTATTGCTTAGTACAATCACTAATACTTTTCTTCAATAACAATAAAAACAAAATAATAGTAAGCAGAGCTGTGTTCCTAACCCCAAAGAAACTAAAGACCATTATTTAGATACTTCATAGAAATTCCTTGATAAGTAAATCCTCCCTTTTTACACCCAATGAATCTTTTCTTAATAAATTCACCCACTCTACTTATCAAATCCAAACATCATAAAAGTAAGTTGGCACCAGTTATTTAACAAGCCAAACAAAAGCTTATCATTCTGTTCCTACCTTTTCCTTCACCCCTCCCCATCCTCATTAGTTTTTAGTGCTTCTTGAACCTCAGAAGCAATCATTCCTAGTTTATGTCAAAATCAGGACTTTAGAGTCATGTTTGCCACTTTCTGTAACTATCTTAATTTTTCGGTTAAAACTACAGCATACTTCTTTTTGGTTCTTTCTAGCTTCTAATAAAATAGTGAGATCATTTCATTTAATATAATTCCTTATTTTGTTATGATTTAGTATATCATCAAATGTTTTTATTCTCTCAATATACCTCTTCTCTGATTTTGTTGATATAAATTTAATAATATAATTTTTTAAAGTTTGTTTTCATTCTTATAGTGTCCTGACTGGTTGGCTAGCTAAATGTTGCTTTTCTTCCATGATCCACACTAAAATCCATTGAATGTTCTAATTACACATAACACCATAGAAAAACCTTGTCTACCACTTTTAAAAACAAACTGTGAATGTGAAAATGTCTTCTGATGTGACTGCTTTATAAAGCTCAATAAAGCGGTTTTAATCCAGAAGAAGGCATGACCTAAATGTCAGACAAATATGCAGCAACAGAATTATCTTTATTTTACTTCAGTTTGATGATATAATACATAAAGTCACAAATTGGATTGTCAAGGTTTTATTTTACTAATTCCAAGCTATTGTAAAATAATATTCTATATATTTAAAGTATGTATTAAGAAAAAGCTGGGAAATTAGAGTAATAACTTAAATTGGAGAAGATAATAGTTTTAAGAAAAGCAAACTGAAATCATGTCTTTATCTTAACAAATAAGACTTCTAAGAAATTGAAAGAAATCTCTTGAAAAGCAAGAATAAAGACAGACGTACTCAGGCGATAAGAAACAACGAAATAAAATCTTCCATTTTAATAATAGTTACAATGACCTTAAATAAAATCTAAAAGTCACTGCGGTAAATGTCTACTAGTTTTAGAATTATAGTTTTGACTGAATTATATTTTATGATTATATAATATTAGGATTCTTCAAATCTCTGAATTTCTCAGTTTATAGCTTTAGAAAGTACATAAAGCTTTCTAGATATGATTCACGATATTTTAAGTCTAAACCATAGAATAGATTATTGCAACAATGTTCTTTAATGTTGATTTTTAAATGTAAAAATAAATGTAATACCAATGTAAGCCACATGGTGGGAGTGAAAGGCAAGAACTTGTGTTGAAACAGTTTAAATACATAATGTACTATCTTTACAAATTTTTTAAATGCTTGTTAAAGGATAAAAAGTTATAGTTGGACTTTCTTTCTTACTCTACTATACTCCTCAGCAAAGAATAAATAACAAAAGACAAAGACATTGATTTAAATATATAGGCCATTATTACTGAATATCAAAAGAAGTAAACACACACACACACACACACACACATTTTTTCCCCTTAAGTTTCTTTTGGTCATATGAGGGACCTGGTGATCAGAGTATAGCAGTTTTGATTAGTAGTTAAATTGAGAAATTCCTTGAATTGCCAGCACTGGAAATAGTAATTGAAGAAGTTACCAGAAATGCTTGATGTCTTCACACTTTCTGTCATTTTCCTTTTTCCTTTATTGTTCTCATGGAAAAAAAAAATCTAGTGTGTGTGTGTGTGTGTGTGTGTGTGTGTGTGTTGTTTGTGTGTAAGATGCCTCAACTTATTTTTCAATAAGGAAGATAAATAAATAAATTTTCCTTTGTGTTTTCTGTTAACTCAGTCTCATTTGAATTTGGAAGCAATTTAAAGTGGTAATCATTTTGTATCTTTAAGGTAAGAAGACAAGAGGTTTCTTCTCCTAGAAAAGAAACTTCACCAGGGAGTCTTGGCGTTTCTTTATTCCATGAAAGGTAGGTCTACATCATTTTTTGTCAATTCTTAAAAGTTATAAATATTGAAATATATTTTGATGTTTTAGCAATTTTAAGAAAAAAGCCTTTTAGAACTAGAAGAGACTAATTCAAGGGTCCTATATGTTTAAGGACCTAAATAAGTTATACAATTAATAGCAGAGTGGGTCCAAAAACTGAACTCTGTGAAGCTCTACTGTTTCAATAGACCAAGTATTATGGCCATATTGGATAGATCCGAATGGGAACCTCACCAAAGTGAGGAATATTTAATATTCTATTTAAGATGTTTACAGAGAACAAAACTCAATACATTGAAATTTCTAATGTGAGAATAAGACAGCCAGTGTCAGTGTGATATATGAAGTAGATAGGCTAATCTGTACTACATTTATGTATTAAAACTTTTGATTTATCACTTACTGCATGCCTGACTCTCCAGAGTTGTTTTCTGGGATATTTTCCTGGAATTTAAAATAAATTTTTAACATCCAACTTTTCAATAATTATTTCATTCATAATTGGTACTATTGTAAGTTTCATTATGAAAAAAAATTTGAAGCTATAGGGTTACATTTTAAAATATTGATTTGTTTTTAGGGGTAATATAGAGAAGACCTTTTGGGATCTGAAGGAAGAATTTCATAGAATATGCATGCTAGCAAAAGCACAAAAAGACCACTTAAGCAAACTTCATATACCAGACACTGCAACTGGTAAGGTTTATAAATATTAATATTGCTTTTGTTGAAATTGATTTCTTTTTGAATGTGAAAATATTCCTAAATGCTTAAATGCTAAGGATATGTAACATAACTCTTACCCATATATATTTGAATGGGTAAGTGCTGTTTAAATTCTATCATGTATTACATTATGTAATTATTGGCTTTTTCTCTGTCTTCATTGTATATAATATTATATGGATTGAACTGAAAGACATTATTAATCATCCTAATGAGAAATCCCACCTTAAAAAATACAAAATAATCTGAGGCAGGAGGATCACTTGAGCCCAGGAGTGTGAGGTAGCCCAGGCAACAGAGACCTGTCTTAAAAGATAAAAATAAATATAAGATATATCTCTCAAAGTTTTCAGTTGCTATTTAGGGGTTTTCATAAACATTAACTCATATGTTATTAAGCAACTTTAAAGCCACATTAGCATATATAAGCCAAATAAAATTACAATATCAGGTTTGTTTTTAACTTCTGCCTAAAAGGTTATTAAACACTATGGAGATATATCTATACATATATTATGTTGCCCAGACTGGAGCACAGTGACTATTCACAGCCTCAAACTCCTAGGTTCAACCAATCTTCCCACCTCAGCCTCTGGATAGATTCTTATAATTTGGTTCAAGAATAAAAATGTGACACATTTCCTGAGTGCCAGTTCTGTTGAAGGCACAAAATACAAATTTAGTCTAAAATACAACTTAAAAGGAACATCTGCTTTACACATGTGTCACAGTATGTTTTTTAAAAGCTCCACCCTTCCCTGAAACCCCAGATTGGCTTTCTGTTGTTTGCTTCAGTAGTTCAATATGAATAGCAAAATATCAGAGATTGAGTCTGCCAACCAAGCACATCTGTAAACAAAAAGAAGGTAAACTGATCATTTATAATGATAAATTCTCCTTTACCCTTGTGATTTGAGCTATTCTGCAGACAATTCCCAAGAGATGTGATTTACAGTTTTCAATCTGAGAAATGATACAGCAGTGCTGACTAGCACCCCCTTTAATTAAAAATCACTTTCCATTTCTTACAGCGCTTACATTTAAGCTATTTAAAAATCATTTTATAGTATAAATTCACTTTTTGCTACTACAGTTTTATTTTCAGAAAATTACACAATGTGATGTTAGAGAAACAAAACAATCTTTGTAGATAGGCATCATCTGTTTCTTCCTCTCCTATCCCCCTACCTTCCCAAAAAGAACTCATTTCTCCACCTTAATTTTTTGTCTTTTTCAGAGAAATTGATCTTTTGTACAGACTAAAGAATACTAGGTACCTTTGAATTAAATGAATTATTTTTATTTAAAACATGCTAGCGATAGAGATGTAGTACCTAGGATTCATAAACATGCTTTCTTTGAACATCAGCATCTTATCAAAGCATTGTAATGGTGATATATTCTTTGTTACACAGAGAACTTACCTCATTATCAATGGCTTAATACTTTGACCATTTTTAAATTGCACAGGTCTAAATCTAAGTATGTATCTGTCAACTAGAACAGTGAGTGTTTAACTTCAATTTCTTCCCCACTAAAACTGTTTCCTAAGATTATTATGTTTTATATGAACTTTCTCACAAATAATACATAATTCTTGAAATATTTTAGGTGTTTTTTGTTACATATTCCAGTGAAATTTTACTGTGTCCAAATAGAAACCAAAATATAAAATATCATGCTCTGACAGTAGTAGATCAAAAGGAGAAGAAAAAAAGAAATATATTTTTTTAAATATGCCTATTCAGGGTTTCCAAGTATGTATGATACATTGAATTAAAATATAGAAGAACTATTTCAAATATGATTTGCATGATCTATCTGGAAAAAGTATATGTATTATTGTCCTTGTGTTATTTAATTAAAATTTGATTTTTACTTTTAAATAACCAGATATAATTCATGAAAAAAGGCTAAGCTAGTAGAATTGTACCTTTCCTTTTTTTTATTCCATTTTTTCCTACTCAGGTATGGAAATAGCCTTGAGAAAGGATAAAGATAAACTGTACATTTATGCAAATATGACTTCAAAAAAAAGTACTATTTGGTTCATAAAGGAGCATCTTGTTTCAGTAGAGATTAGAGGGAAAAATATAGGATTGGGTTGTAAACAACCATCAGGTCTTTTTCTTTTGTCAATATACAAGGTAATTATACTGAGAAGTAGCCTAAATGGACAGCCTATACTTAAAATTGGAAATCTACAAATATTTCTCATTTTACTTTTTTTCTTGCAAAAATAAGTATTGTTAAAAAGTAACTATTCTTGAAATAGATAAAATAGAAAAGCTATTTGCTCACCTGATCCTGTTTCTCAATACGGTATCAGGATGACAAGTGCTTTCATGCACCTCAATTGAGTTTTATGTTTTCTAAGCTTGGATTTCTAGTAGCCTTAGGAATCTTAGTTTTAAATCTTTTTTTTTTTTTTAATATATTAACTGTCATTGCTTGAGTAGACTAACTTGGATGATTTTAACATGGCTGAGGTTGTGTGCCAGCTAGTCATGCTCAAGGAAAATATCTGCTTTATTATAGCTGTTTGATTTCTCCATGTTTTGTTCACAAGAGGGACTGGTCAACTGCTAAAAAGTAATTCAAAGCACATTTTTGTCAATTTGGGGACTCCTCTCTATATATGGAAACAAACATGTTAAATTTAGCATAATGGTTCAGAGCACAGACTCTAGAGTTAGACTGCCTGGGTTTCGGTACCATATCTACCATTCATTAGCTGTGTAGCCTTGGAATGTACCAGTTTCTTTACATGTAAAGTAAGGAGAATGCCTACCTCAGGATTATTTTGAGTATTAAATGAATTAATGCTCAGGCAATGATTATTACAGTGTATGGCACATGGAAGTGCTATTAATGTTAATAGTTGTCATTAGCAGCAGCAGCAACAGTTCTTCAGTGTTCACCCTGTTCTCCTTGAGAAGAGCATTTGATAAGTCTTTCCTCCTTTTCAGGTGTTACAGAATTTGATTACCTCAACAGTTGGTTTTCCTGATTTGTTATTTGTAATTCGCAAATGTTATCTACAAAGACAGTACTGTTTCCTAGAATTTCCTGCCACTTTTAAGTCTATTACCAGGAAAAAAATGACTACTTGAGAGTTGATAGATTTTAAGAACCTCAGAGGTCAAAGAAATCCAGCTGAACAATTGAGCTTGGTCTCAATTACTATACCACTCCTAGTCACAGACAGAATATCTAGTAAATGTTGATTATTATCCTAGGCTTTGTGAGGAATAGGATATAGATTCACTCAGAATTCATTTATTAAGGGCATATATGTACCAGGTACTGGGCAGGGTTCTGGGGTAAGTGGGGAATGAAAAATAGTTTAGAACCTAAAAAAACATACTTAATGGGAGAAAAGAGGTATATACTTGGAAATACAGTCATGTGCCAGATAACAATGTTTTTGGTCAACGACAGACCACATATATGATGGTAGTCTGATAAGATTATAATGGAGCTAAAAAATTCCTACCACTATTGTAACATTGTAGTGTAATTACTTTATTTTTTATAAATTTAATGTAGCCTAAATGTACAGTGTATATAAAATCTACAGTAGTGTACTGTAATGTCCTAGGCCTTCACATTCACTTACCACTCACTCACTGACTCACTCAGAGCAACTTCCAGACCTGTAGGCTCCATTCATGGTATGTGCTCTATATAAGTGTACCTTTTTTATCCTTTATACTGTATTTTTACTGTACCTTTTCTATGCTTAGATGTACAAATATTTCCCATTGTGTTACAACTGCCTGCTGTACAATAACATAGCCTGGGAGCAATAGGCTATACCCTATAGCCTGGGTGTGTAGTAGGGTATTCCACCTACGTTTCTGTAAGTACATTCTATGCTGTTTGCACTACAACAAAATCACCTAATGATGAATTTCTCAGAATATATCCCAATCATTAAGTAACACATAACTGTATAACAGTGTTCAGTCCTCAGGACAATGAAAAGTCATGGGAAAGCCATCTAGAGAAACTTATGTCTAAGCCAAGATATGAAGGACAAATAAGAGTTAGGCAAAGAGTAACGAGAGGGGACACATCAGGCAATCTGCAAAGCATGTGCAGAAGTGCAAAGAGAAGACAGCGTGGCTGCTTTGGAGAACTGTCCAAAAGTTCATTATAGCTACAGTATGGAACAAAGCACGTGTGCTGAAAGATAAGCATGGAGAGGTGACCAGGGGCCAATTAAGAATAGTTTTATATGCCTTAGCTGAGGGCTGAGGGGTGAGGGCCTTGGAGAGCCATAAAAAATGTTTTATTAGCAAGGTAACATGACCAGATTTGTATTTTGGAAAAACTACTCTGAAAAGAAGGGGATGGAGGAGAAGTTGCAATGAAAAGAGTAGATTGGATATGACACAAATTTCGAGGCAAGCAAGCAGTTCAAAGGCTGCTATAATAATCCAATAAGGGAGAATGGTGTGGACTAAAGAGGCAATAGATATATTACAGGATGAACCAAAGAAGTTGGTTGCATTATACTATATATATCATATCCAAACAGAAAATATCTTGTGTTGGAATGTGCTGTGGCAAAAGATAGGTGTCATAAGACTGCAAAGGCCAAAGGAATATAAAGGAATCGACATTTAATAAATGCCTACTAATCCTGACAGACACTTTGCCAGGTTCTCTACATACCCTATCTACTTAAACTTGCATCATTAGTAAAGTCTCCGTTTTGAATATATAACTTTACTGATGAAAATCTTTTTAAAATGCTAATTTTTAAAACCTTTACTATTTATTCTTTAAATAAAAACACATACATTACCAACATCACTCCCTTCTTGAATGGACATTGTAGAGCATAATTTAGCTTTTCTTGATGTCTCAGGATCAACATGAAGAGAACTTTGGTTTTTTATATCAAGAAATGTAGCCCTTTTTGGCCCTTTACTAGACTGTAGTGGTTTTCTGAATTTTTATATCTGTTCTTTTGTTTTTCTTGTCTTCTCTCATGCTTTTAGCTCTTACTGATATCTATCTCTGCCTTTAACACTCATATCCCCTTTTGATTTGCTGTTTCAAACCGTCTGTGAGCTAGGGAAACATCATCAAGCTTGTTAGAATAAAACTAAAATGAGAATAGTAGCAAAATCTATACATCTATGGACCTTGTGGCTCTAATTCTGACTCCTCAGAAGCTCTACTTTCTTTCTTAACTTTCTATGTCTTAGAGAGCTGAATTTGATATAATAGATAAGTGGCTTCTAGATCAATGAGCTACAAAGTCCCTGGTATCCACCTGGTATCTAAAAAGAGGCCTTTTTAAAATATGAGGAAATCCCATGTTCACATGCAATTTTCTTAACATGCATGCCAAAATTTCATTCTTCTTTTGCCTCCACTGTCTTCCTTCTCCCCAACCCCTACAACCATTACTCCCTCACATGGATTTTTAAGAGTAGACAATGGCTAAGCTGATTAGCAATATATTTAGTTACATAGTGATGTTGGGGGTAATAAATGACCTAACTTATACACCCATACACACACACACATACACACTTAGTAAGGATTTTCCCTTTTAACAACTTATTTGTCTAAGCAAGCTCATAGTAGCAGTTTCCGATTACTGACAAAATGTTTAAATGTATACATTATAAGCAAATGTTTAACTGTGAACAAGATGCAAAGCGTACGGCAAAAGACCTAGGAAAAGACAAAGCAGTTAAATTTCGACTAATAAGCTATGTTTCAGTTAACCCGCTGGAGACTGCTAATACTCTGTGTAAGATGGTAACAAATATAAAAATCTCAGTTGTCTTCAGTTGCTATAAAAACCAATATAAAAAATAATACTCATCTGTCCAAAGCTGACTGAACAGATTTTTAAAAATCATTTGAATGTGACTGTTTCCCTTTTGTGTTCTTTTCCCTGCAGAAACACAGTGCTCTGTGCCTATACAGTGTACGGATAAAACAGATAAACAAGAAGCGCTGTTTAAGCCTCAGGCTAAAGATGATATAAATAGAGGTACACCATGCATCACATCTGTCACACCAAGAGGACTGGGTCGAGATGAGGAAGACACCTCTTTTGAATCACTTTCTAAATTCAATGTCAAGTTTCCACCTACAGACAGTGACTCGACTTTCCTACATAGCACTCCGGAGAGACCCGACATCCTCAGTCCTGCCACATCTGAGGCAATGTGCCAAGACAGATTTAATATGGAGCTCAAAGATAATCCAGGAAACTTTGTTAAAACAGAAGAAACTTTATTTGAAATTCAGGGAATTGATCCCATAGCTTCAGCTATACAAAACCTTAAAACAACTGACAAAACAAAACCCTCAAATTTTGTAAACACTTGTATCAGGACAACTCCGGATAGAGCTGCCTGTTTATCACCTGGAGACCATAATGCATTATATGTAAATACATTCCCACTTCTGGACCCGCCTGAGGCACCTTTTTCCTCACTCAATTCCCCAGGAAAAGCTATCCGAGGACCACAGCAGGTAACTGTTTTGCATTAACAAATATATTATTACGTGTGAACACACATTTTGCCATACGTGCACAGATATGCATCTCTTTTAGGTTATCAGACATCCTTTTTAAACTAATGACTAGCCAAAGTTAAGGCTTTCATTAAAACATGTAAGTCCTGTAATAAATGACATGAAATTATAAAAGATTAATATGATAAAGCTCTATTACAAAGTACCTTGAAATTTATGGCAGACTTTAAAATATATGTAAGCTTTATTCATATCTATTATGAGTGTCACTTTCTTAGTTCCGTAGTCAAAGATAGTTTACACAGCATCAGTTTATAATAGGATTATTTTATTAAATTTCACAGTGTAAAATAAATAGTTTATGATAAGTTTATATCATACTAATTTTTATAAGAATGCACAATTTTCCCCAAGTAAATAATTGCATCATATTCCTAACTGTCAAACTAAGTAAACTGTCTTTCAACTAATACTTCTATTACATTCTCAGTTATTTAGTACGTAGATCTCTAGGATTTAGTTTTGGTTTTGGTTGCTAATCTGGCACTAAACATGCAGCCTAATATGTTTTTTAAATAGCCTCTGCATAGGTATGATTTCAATCAAATATTTTATTTAATGTTTCTAAGCTCACAGACTACTTAGAGCCCCACAAGCCATTCCTACCGTTCCTTTTAGATTCAGATTCTATCACAGAATGATTCTTTTAGTTTAAAAAAAAAAATGTTTTTAATGGCTGAAGACAAATGAAAAATATATAATTGTTACAATAAACAGACGCTCATGAAAATACAAACTGATGTAAATAATTTTCAAACATTTGATTTCTCTTTGAGTTGAGATATTTAATTTTTTTAAAAAACTTCATTAATACCCTTTGGCTTTAAGTACTTTTATAAGTTATAGACTTTTAAATCAGCATGCAAAGCAGGCAATAGGCAAGCTGTGGTGTATTTTAGTAGTAGGAAAAACTAGGCATAGCTGACAATAAGTTTTAATTATAAACTCACTTATGTTCCACATTGTACCTTATTTCACATCATAGACTCAGTTATAATTGATACTAAATGAAACAAATTAAACAATTTCATTTATTGCAAGTAGAATTCCTGTGGAGCTGTGAAGTGCACCAGTTCTAATGCTTGTTACTCTTTTCTCCATTGTATTATTATCTCTTGCTTGTTCTTTTACTAGTCTGTGCATTCATGTTTCAGTAGATGGCACCCTGCATTGTACATTTGCTTTCTATACTACAGCAAGGGAAACAGCTGGTATGTGATTACAACTTGATGGAAAAGTATTCAGCTTAAAAAAATGCAGGAGAATTGGTGTTGAGCTGTCACAAGACATGGGGCATAAGGTTAGATAATTGATATTTTGGCAGAAAAAGCAAGGAAATTAGTTTGTTTTGAAGGCCATGTTACAGTTTAGGATTGAAAGAATGTTTCTTAAAGTCCGTTTTAAAAAACATTTTGCTATTTCAATCAATTAATAAAGCTTGTATGATAAGTACAGAATTCTTGAGTTACTCATACACAGTAACAAAGAAGTGAAATTTTAGTTAACATATTTCAAATTTTTACTTTATATGAATCATTAGTACTAACACCTCTTTTTATACATTCAACTATCATAACAAAGACTAAAACATGTCAATTTATTTTTGTTCTATGTGATTTTTTTTGTTTTTTGTTTTTTGGTTTTTTTTACTTTTGCTGAGTCAGTGATTAGGGTCCCACCTAAATTCTATGAAGAGATCAAATCTGAACTAATAGCTCTTAATAGAGAAGGATAAATACAGACTTTGAACATAAATTGGCAATGAAAGATCAGCTCAACAAATTTAGAAGCTAAATTGCTTCTAAGTTAATTTCTTACTGTTTTATAGATCTTAATAAGAATTCTCTTTAAAGTAATAATCTTTGATTTATAGCCATATCAATTTCTCATTAGAATGATTTGTACTCTTGTTTAAATGGCAAACAGTAAAATTTGAATCTACTTAACTCTAACTAGATTTTTGTTTACCTACTCAACAATTACTATTTTTTTTTTATCATGGAAGAAATATTTTTCTAAAGAAAACTATTTTACCCCAAATTTCGTGACATTTATTCTAAATATTATTTTTTTACTTTTTTGTGTGATAAAATTGCCACTTCTCATGAAAGGAATTGAGTCAATATTATTATAAGCCCTCTGTACATGACTGTATCTCAGTGCCTAGACAGACTTTGTATATTTACACCAATTGTACACAGCTGTCCAATAAAATGTTTATAAGACGACAGTGATGTTGTGAAACTCAAATGCTTCAATTAGTAATATACTGTTTATGTAAATGATCGGTTAACCAGAATGAAAGAACTTAGAGGAATGAAAATTAACACTATCAGGTGCTGGACTAGGCTTTAAAAACATATTAGTAACAGGACCATAAGAGGTCTCTAAATTTGACTTTATGAGGTGATTCTCCTCAAAGTATCAGAATTTAGCTATGTCAGAGTAATTTACCTGTGTCAAGGAAAAAAAATTTTAAAAATAATTAGGTTTACACAATTCAGGAAAATAATACATTTTCTAGTCAACAAACATTTATTGAACACCTACTATTAAACTAAATGCTATTTCTTGTCATTTTAGAAGTTTTTTTAAAAAAAAGGAATAAACGCAGTATAGCAGGGTGTTTATATACTGGCTATAATGGAGATAATTATGTTAAATTATGATTTTCCATATTTCTATAACCAGGCAACTATTGACAGGTTAGACTTTACTCAGCCACAACAAGGAGTAAGGCCAAAATACTTATTATATAATAAGAATAAAGCAAAAAGTCAAAAGAATGCATCTGATATTAGAATTTGCTGAATTTTATTTCAGTTTTCAAGAAGCAAAAAAAATAATTCATTAGTGGAATTTGTTTAGTAGTTTAAAAGAAAATTTTTCTTTCTAAAAATCAAAATAATGCTGATTCATATGATTTATTATGTATTTGCTTATAAGTATTACTGAAATTAAACTTGCTTTTGATTAAGATGTCATGCATACACACACATCATGTCTAGTGTACCCACCATGTGATTAATAAAGGCCCTATAACTTAAGGTTTCTATTGTAAAATAGAAAAGGTAGAATTTAATTTAAAAATCTAAAGTATCAATTATTGTTCCAAAATTACTGCCATTGTAATAATTGAACATCAAAAATTGCAGGTGCTAAAGCTGCAATATTTTTAAATATGTAAAGATAAAATGCATGAGTATGTACCTCAAGTGATTTTAATCAAAGTTTACTTGTGCCCTTTATGAGAAAAAGAATTGAGTCGTATCTTCGTGCTGACTTTATGGAAAAATAATTTGCTTTCATATTAGGAAATTAAACATCTATCCTCATAACGCATTCAAAAAATTTTAATTTAAAATTCAATGCTATTTGATTTAAACACAAGTAACAGAATATGTTTTTGTTTATTTGTTTTCTGCAGCCCCTTTGGAAGCCCTTTCCTAATCAAGGCAGTGACTTACTGGAACTAAGTGGCACAGACTCAGAACTGCATATACCTCGAGTATGTGAATTCTGTCAAGCAGTTTTCCCACCATCTATTACATCCAGGGGGGATTTCCTGAGGCATCTTAATTCACACTTTAATGGGGAGACTTAAGACACATTTGAAAACAGACATATCAAGTCCTATGCGATGATTTTGGGTTTGTAATACTATAACTACTTGATTATGAACTAAATTCAAGATCATTCATAGGAAAATCTCTTTTCACAGCTATTTGAAATTTTTTCTAAACTTCTTTTATAACTTTAATTATCTTTTAAAAGATCATTCTGTACAAAACTGTAGCTCATTGTATTCATGTTTACAGTGTTACTACCATAATTCAAAATTATGTATGTGACTTAGCGTTATATAATCATAATTTATGTTTGTTTCAAATATCTAAGCTTATTACTTGGATTTCTAGTGAGATGTATTGACTTTGGTGATGTCAAATGTTTATAGGGTTTTTTCATTTGATTTCATTGAAAAATTTAGATTATTTATGCTATAGGTAAAATTCTGTTTGAATAAATCTATAATAAACAATAAGAAACAATGTAAACATCTAAGTAAATGCCAAAGATATTTGTTGCCCAGTGATAAAATCACTGATAGAATTATTTAAATGTTAGATCATTTTTAATAATATACATGGCTTTAATTTTTACTATGTGTATAGCTACATGATGAAATGAATAGAATATTAAAAGAGTTAGTTATGTTGTGATCATTAGTGTGTTCTTTGTTCCTGAGTTTTAAAAAAAATGAAATAAATCACATTTTGGAGGAAGTTTATAAAATTCATATTTTCCTTCTAGTAACTTGATAGAAGGGTGATGACCAGATCTGATGGCATTTATTACAATTAGTGGATCACTTTAAATTTTAAAATTATTTTTCAAACTAAACTTACTAAAGAAACATTTGTTTTTTATGTGAGCAAGTCTAAAAAACACTGTGAGGACTATCCATATTTATTAATTTAGATTAAAAATGTTCACAATCTTGTTAGAAATTTGTTATTCATTGATAGCAGTCTGATTCATGGCCAATGTAAGACATTTGAGAGAATGGATACCAAATTCAGAAGGCTGCAAAAATTCTTTAAGTCTTTCCTTTAGTTTTCCTTCCCTGATTCTTGCCTTTTGAGTTTCTCTTTCCTTCTGATTTTAAAAAAAATGTTTGAGGCATGGCTTCCATTTTATGAAGTAAACGTTGACTTGCAGCTCTAAAACAAATTTAATCTTTCTTGAAGCAAGTGTTTCAAGCTGGAGGGTTTGGGATAGGGGAATCTGAGCAGGCCCCTGTGCCATAGTGAAGAGCCTTAACTTGTGGAAGAATTTAGAGTGGTGCCTCGACTTCTCAGGATACCAAGCACATCACATTGACATCTTCCTCATCAAGGTGACAGAGCGATTATTAGGTATTCACTGTGAAGGGTTCTGAGGCATGTACATCTTTCTTTCATTGCCACTGGGGCTGAATGGAAATGCCTAGACAATTATCCAAGTCCCTTCCCTTCCCCCACCTCCCACCCACCCAGCCTCCCCTGTCACTCCTCCCACACACACATACAAAATTAAAAATAAAAACTTCCCAGCATGTACCAGCCAGATTATACCACTGTACCTATCTCATGAAAGGGGATTCTTTTTTGCCCTCTCCCTTTCTAGGAGAGAGTCGTCCTCACGCAGTTGACATCTACTAGCTTGCTGACAACCTGAGGAAACCCTATAGCCCAAAACGTGACTCAAAGTGTGCCACTGACCCCTCCAGTCCACCCTCTCCCCACCTCCTCCACCACTTTTAGTAAGAATAAGGAGCTCCATTTTCTTTTGGGTTCCAGCGGTACCCCAGGCTCCATCTTCTGAGGGACAGAGACCTTGGGCCACAGGAGAGGCGGCCTGGAGAGCAGGCCCCCATCCCGTTCTACAGAAGCAGTGTTGGCCAGAGCTCTAAAGGTGGATGGAGAGGGCACCGCCAGGTCTCTCCCTCTGTCTCTTGTTACTGAGTCGTGCAGGGGCTGGCTCCTGGCATCTGCTAAGCGTGGCCGGGTAAGAACAGCTCCCAGGTAAAAAAGCTGCACACGCGAAACGCTGAGTCTGAAGAAACCACCCCCGCCGAGGCGAGGCAGTTGTGAGCGGGATGCCTGAGAAGTGGGAGGTGAATGTCCTCGGGAGGGCCCCCCCGGAGCAGCTTTCCCCGGAGGCTGAAGCTGCTGCCAGCGGGGACATCTGCTTTCTTACACTCCAGCCTGGCTCACCCCGCCCCCTCAGCCCTGGGTTGCGTGGTTATTTTACCAACACGGGGGGAGGGAGAGCTCGAGGAGGTAGAAAACGGGTGGATGGAAGCTTAGAAGATTTTCTTCCCACTCCCCCCACGCCCCCTCCTTTCTTCTTCACATCTTTTAACCTTCAAGGTAAAGACTTTATAAATACGAAACAATAAACGTGTCCGCTGGCTCCCAGGCCCGCCTTCGGCGGGCCGGGGCTCTCGGGTGCGGGGCCTTGCCCTCTCTCCGTCCTCCCGCGTCGGGCCGGGCCTCGGCGGTTCGGCTGGGCGCAGGGGCCGCCGGGTGCGCCCAGCCTGTGGCGCCTTCTCTCCCGGGCTGCTGCCTCGACAGCTGCTTGTAGCTACAGTAATTAGACTGTCAGTGCTTGTTAGAGGAGAGAGGGGAAAACACGCTTCTGACAGCAGATTCCGAGACTCCCCAGTTTGTTAATTTCTAAGAGATCTTTAAAGCATTAATTGAGGTCTCCCCAACTCTCCCCACCCGTCCCTCTCCCCAACTCCTCCCTTCCCCAAAATATCTTGAGGAGAAGAGAAGTCTCTCCGCGTGGAAGCAGTGTTTCCCGCAAAACTGCCAGCCCGCCCCCCACCCCGCTCACGCACAAACACCCTGTTTTACATATACATATATATGCACACATGTATGCGCGGAAGGTTAACTCGGCGGAGGACTCGCCCAAATAGGCACCGGGATTGCATTTAAAATAATAATAATAATAAATAAATAAACTAGGAAGAAAAGGGGGGGAGGGAAGCAGAAGTCGGGAAGAAAAGAGAAAAAGCAGCAGGCTGATTACGAGGTGTCAAAACTGCCAGGAGCAAGAAGGTGATAGCAATCAGGGGTGAGAAGAGTGCGGCATTCGTGCGGGGCAACTAATTATCCGTCTCATTTGAGAAGAGCAGCATTTGAGGCAGCAGCGTTCGCCTGCTGAACGGTGACAGATTGGCGCGGAGGAGAGGGGAGGTGTTAAAACAATGGAGCCGGGCGCGCGAGCGCTGCTGCATGCTAATCAGCCCTCCCTCCGCCTGCCTGCCGCGCTCCCTCCTTCCTCCCGGCCTCCCTCCTCCGCGCTCCCTCCTCCCGCCTGCGGCGCTCCCTCCTTTCCAGCGGGCCTGCCGCCGCCGCCACCCGCTTCCTGCTCCCTCGCTTTCCCGCGCGTCCTTCCCGCCTCTGGCGAGTGGAACCCAGCCACCGCCACCGCGTCCCTGGCGGGCCGGGAGCTCCGCGCAGCCCCCGCGGCACGCTCCGCGGGCCCCGCGAGCGCAGCCCGCTGCCGGTGCGCCCGAGGGCCCGGCCTGCGCCGAGCGCCCACTCCCCGGGGCGCCTCCTGCGGAGTGACGCGAGGGCCTGCGTTCTCCGTTCCGGGCCGTGGAGAAGAGGCCGGAGAGCCTCGTTTCAGCCGGTGAATCGGACGCGCTGGCCGAGCGAATTCAGGAAGGGCGAGGGACGGCCAGAGGTGGGAAGAGAGGCAGGGCCAGAAAGGCCAAGGAAGGGCCCTGGACCGGCTGCAGAGCCGCCCCAGCGGGCCGCCACCCGGAGGCCTCTAGCCGCCCCCAGCCCGCCCCCGCTGGCCTGGGCAGGTCGGCGAGGTCGGGCCTCAGATCCTAACACCTTCCTCTTTCCACCGCAACTACAAGTACACGATTTAAATAACCACAGTGAAGGCACATAAAGGGCTGTAGCATTAGTTGTGCGTCCAAGGCCTGACCTCCTGACCCCAAGAGTCGACTAAAAGGCTGTCTGGACCTCCAGAGACACAGCATAAGACTATCAATAGGGAGAGAAAGGCCTTTAAAGAAGCGGGCCACCCGACCCCTGCCGCGGAGACTGTGGGGGCGATGGGGGCCGGGCATGTCTGGCAGCACAGCTCCTTGTCTAGCTGCTGTTGTCAACACTCTGGCCTGAGAGAAGCTGGTCAAAAACTGCAGCGCCCGGGCTGCCCCTCGAATCCACCAGAACCTGGGTCTCTGCTGAAAAAGGTCTTCCATACCTGTTGAGGCAAGCCTGAGGTTCTGATACAACTTCCCCCTACTTTTTGAGCTTAAAAGCTGATTGTTGAGCTTAAAATATACTTTTATTCCTACCATTAAAATATTTTATTGTTACAAATTTACATAAACTATCCTTAGAGATTAAAAACCATTGACATTCTTTTGGCTTAAGTGTATTAAATGGAACACAGCCACGGAGAACTAACTGGTAGAAATTTGGACTTACTGAGAATGCAATTCCTTCTAACTCCTCCCGTGCTATTTAGCTAACCAGGTGTCAAAATTAACATAATAAAATTTCCTTCCCCCAAGTCATACATGGAAAAAAACGAAGGTAGCTGAAAGATAATCTATGCAATATAATTTTTCTGCTGACACTTACCTTTGCATAACTTTACACACACAATTGTTCATTTTTAAAAATCAATTTAAAATGTAAAGGTTTGATAAAGCTCAGTCATATATATACATAGGTTTCATGCATACTGTTTTCTCCACTTTTCTCTGTAATGTTTCACAATAAAAGCACACAAAAATAAAATTTAAAAGACGAGTAAATTTTGGTATTTTTATATCATCATTGATCCTAGTCATATGAAAACTACATAGATTGAATCACTTTTTCCTTTTAGGATATACCCAGGCATACCAATAGAGTAGCTGAATGTAAAATTGTTAGGATCCACTAAAATAATACAGAATGTTGAAAAGTTTTTAAATTGAAAATTCTTGAAGAGTTACATAAAGGACTTTGTGTAAATAAATGTTAATGCTTTTTGGTTTCTGCTCTTTGGAAAACCACTAAGCAGGCCTCTGCCCTTACCATATCACAGACATTTCAATGTTAGAGTATTAGTTGGCATTTGGAAAACTCCCTGGTGTCTGAATCTGCTAAAATAGCAACCTATCTAACAGCAAAAATTTCTAATTTTACATTTATTCATGTAAACTTGGAGATTCAGATGCTCCATCAGCATCAAAATTAAGCAATTTATTAACTATTTATCAGCCTTTTCTTCATTAACCAGTTTTACAAAAGCAATGTGTATCTCCCTGAAGCTATGAACCTATAGAGCATAAATTTAGTTCAATTCCATGTTGTGTTATTTCTAATATCTAATCAAATTCTTCACCTTCCAATAACTTGGTTTTTATGGGTTTAGTGTAATTTCTTCTCTGTCTACAGACCTCACAAATTTGCATGATTGTTTTAATGGTATATTTACAGATAAGTTTTTATTTGCACATAAGGACAAAAAGGTGAAGTGAAATTTGGTCCCAATGGAAACCTGTTAGGTTCCCTGAACATATGGCTCATTGGGCTGTTACTTCCTTTTTGAGATCATTTTCCAAGATTTTTTAATATATACATCAATTTGACACCAGTTATAAAGAAAATATATTGGCTTTGAAGATGCCTCCACCTGGGGCATATCTCTTAATAAC